AATTAATTTTTATTAAAGAAAGAATTTAATAGTATTTACTTAATCGTGCCCATTGAGTCAATTCATTATTTTACTGCCAATTTTAACATTGAAGACATAAATTTCCAGTGTCGTCCGTCTGTCCATCCGTCCTTCCTTCCTTAATCTCGAAAACGGAGTTAGACAGGTGAAAGTCGAGATTAGATATGGAAAGGTTAGGGACAGGAAGCCCCAATTAACTATTTACGAACATCCGAAAGTCACGTGATTTTTGACATCGTCATAATTCCAGGCTGCAACTTTTCGTCTGTGCTCTCGATTTTACTAGTGTTTTGCCCCCGTACATCATACTTTTCCTGTTAACAGTAGAGTCATGCCGATCATCTATCTCTGTTCTCGAGATTAAAGAAAGATAGGCAGACAGACAGAGAGACCAGCGACGGACGAACGGACGTCAATGGCAATTTTTGAAATTTGCAGTCCAAATAGCAGTCCAGTATTGTGACCATGTCACAATACTGGACTGCTATTTGGACTGCAAATTTCAAAAATTTCATTTCATTCACGAGTATATGTCTACATACGATCTTCTATCAAAATCAAAACTTTTAATAAATAATTTATATGTATTTCAATGTATATTTTATACTTTATATTCGAGTATATAGCTACACATTAAAATATTTATAATTGAAATAGCGATACCTTCTATTATCATTTATGACTTTCTACTAAACCTTAAGATCACTGAATGAACCCGTTAAGGTTTTAAATACATTAATATTATATTCGGGGTCGTAAATAAAACAATTATGAGTTAGGAAATCGATAAAGTATGATCTGGTTGAATAATTTTCGAATACATTTATAGTTGATTTAATATTGATTAATTAAAATAATTAATCATCGTGTTATCGCATTACACTCATCTACAATAGCTGGAAAATTATTCGTCTTAATTATATTAGCAATCATTTATTCGTGTTTCCTAGTGGAATAAGTGTTTGCTTTTCTTCTTCACTTTGTTTTTTCGATACTTTAAATAGTTGTAATTTCTAATCTTGTGCCGAGATCCTTAGAGAAATATCGAAATTTTCAACAGCACCCGAAATATCGAAAGGTTATAATAAAATCCTGGAAATTGCAAATCGACCGTCTGGTATATAATTTATTTTTATGCTGTATGTCTTTAGACAAAATTGGATAGCACGTCCATCTGTAAATTAGTCGCTACACATAATAAGATAATGATAATGCTGAAAAAATTCCAAAAGTAATTATGCTCGTGTGAAATAGTAAAAGTTTCAATGACAGCTCTGGTAAAGCAATTATTAAAGCCAATTTTATTACGAGAAATTTTTAATCATATTTTTAATTTATTTCATTTAAAATATACGCTCTCGATTTTAGTAGTGTCTTGCCCCCGTATATCACACTTTTCCCGTTAGGAATAGAGTCGTGCCGGTCATCTATCTAACACCGTTCTCGAGATTAAGGAAGGACAGACAGAGAGACGTGGGAATTTATAAAACTTAGGCAAGATAAAGCAACGAAAATTACTCGAATTAGAAGCAAATTTTATTAATGATAAGCGCGTGTCTTAGTTTTCTTTCATTCCACTTACAAATATGGATTATTTTTAAATTAATTGTACCATTTGTAGATTAATTGTTTACGATAAGTTCATCCAGATAGGGGGGTTACGTTAAAGAAATAAATAATCTTTTAGTATTCTCTGAGCTGAAAAATGTTCGTGTACTTTACTATCAACTCCTCGGACAATAAAAAAAAGAGCGAGAGATGTAAAAAAGATATCAATATTGTAGAATGGATCGGCATTTTGTATATGTAAAAAAAGAATGAGCATGGTTACGACGATTGCTTTGGGTTTTTAAATCAGATTAAATTAAAGTAACAACAGGAGAAGAAAGGTAGATTAATCTTTGGTTTTTTTTGGCAGCGTTTAATATTTTTCAACTTTAATAATTTCCTTTGATAAAGCCAGAGCACGATCAATATCAAACCATTTGTAATTTTCTGTTTCAAGTAAAAACTAGATTTCTCTGTGACGAAATCTTTTCAGTTTTTTTGAATTTGGTAGCCGTTCTGTGTGCGTGCTGTGCCCACTTCTGGTTATCAAATTAAATTGGAGTTAAAAGTTTATCTTCTAATTTAATAAATTATAAACTCGTCGTAAACATCACTCAATATTTATTAATATAAACATCGGTATTTTATCGTCGTAATGTTTGTTTGTTTACTTTTATATCTATATATATATAATTGCTTGTCCTGACTGACTCATTCACTCACTGATTCATCATCGCCCAGAGCAAACCGCTGAACCTAAAGAGGTGAAATTTGGTACACAGTTAGGGTACGTCATGAAAACGCTCACTAAGAAGGGATTTTTCGAAATTCCCCCGCGGGGGGAGAGGGAGAGGATTAAGGCTTAACCGGAAAAACGGCTTCTACTGTACTATTTTAGATGCGATTTTTTGTTACGTTTAGTCTTCATTAAGTACTTAAGTGTATTAAATTAATAACATTTCAGGCATTGTTATAAATATTTTTATATATTTCGATTTTTTAACCAAATGTTCGAACCTTTTTAAATTCGAATTTGTTATTGCGTATTAGTTCGATTATAGAACGATTGTAAACGTTCCAGAAAATTGATCAAATTGAAAATAGTTTGTTTGATTTTCAGCAATTCTCATTATTCTCGGCGGTAGGTGTTATATAACAATTACTATGGTTGTTGAAATACTGAGTATAAATGGGGTTTGCTTGCAAAACCTCCGCGGGCGAAGTTGCAGGTAACAGCTAGTTTATTTATAAATAAAAACTTTAAATAGATCGATTTCTAGCATCTCCTTTTAGCGTGGAACCTCGGAGAATCACGATCCATTGCTTGTAACTTTATATCATTAAAAATATATCTCAATTTACATATTTCGTTATTATAACAGGCAATTTGCATATTTATTCTGTTTAATCAGGATTTATATCCAATATCAATTCCTTGCTTCTTATTTATTTATTATAAAGATATTTTGCTTCTTCATATTACAACCAGTTCATATTTGAAAAATATCCAGCAACGAGTTGCGTAACTTTCCCGGCGAAAAATATTTATACGTTAGCCAAATTTAAAATTGTGTGTGGCGCCATCTGTTACGGAATTTTATTTTAGAAATAACTTTTATATTATTAATTATAATACAATTTTTTTTGTTAAACTAAAAATTTGTGCGCGTAAAAAATTTCATAACTCGGAAGCTCTATCAGATATGGCTCCACCATCTTAATTTTTCCCGAACCAATGACCCGATTTTCATGGAAATTTGTGGAAACATTTTCCCCAAATATGTAAACTTCCCTGAAAAATTTCAGAAATTTTCGACGAAAGGAACACGAGTTATTAAGCTTCAAATTGAGTGAAAAAAATCTTTTTCCTTAAACACACACTTACATCCATACATACAGAAAAACCCCCGAATTTTTTTTTTTTTTTTTTTGCATTTCTTCGCGTTTTGGGGTTACCCGAGTCCAAAAATATAAAAATTTTGGGGGGTCATATTCGATCGATGGCCGTACTTTTTCTCTGTTACATATAACAGCAGGGAAAATAAAAATGAAAATATTTATTATTTTTCTTTATTCATTCCAGTATTGAAGGTATTTTATCTGAATTTTCTTGATTTAAACTAATATCTTCATTCAGTCTGCGTTTGATACTTTACAGTTTTAGTTATATTAAACTTTCCTTCTTCTTCCAGACGAACTGATTCAATATTTTCTTTGATTTGCTGTTTACGTGTTTCGATTTAATGCAATATTTTATTTTCGCTAGGTGTAAAAATTTATTCGGTTTCATATCCGGTAAAATTTGAAATTCATTCCCAGCCGCATCAAAATATGTATGTTTATTCCTTTGTAACATTATGATATTAAAATAAGTAAAAGTTCTATTAAATGTATTGAAAATAAACATATTTTTCTCAGTAATTTAGAATGAAAAAAATCAATAGAAAAGTCCAGGAAAAAAAATGCCTATTATTTGAATTATGCCTCGAGAACATGCAACCTCGCAATTGTCCAATATCATCTTCCCTGCTTTGAATAAAAATTTTGAATAATTAATTTCAAATAATTGCATTTAAACGAGCAGTTATTTATTGTGATATCGTTGCAATGCCGGGTTGCAATTTTTAATTATATTCTTAATTTATTCAATTTAAAATATATGCTCTCCACCTCAATTAATAGTGTCTTGCCCCTGTACATCATACTTTTCCTGATAACAATAGAGTCATGCCGGTCACATATGTAATTCTATTCGGGGAGGATTTTTGAATTGAATTTACGTGACTTACGGCTTTTATCGGAAGTTTATATATAGTTAATCGGGCTTCATGCCCTTAAGCTTTCCATATCTGGTCTCGACTTACATCTATCTAACACTGTTGTTGAGATTAAGGAAGGACGGACGGACAAACAGTTGACAGCGGAAATTTATACAAGATTTTTAAATTGCGGCCCAATTAAATATGGGATCCCTTTTACGTCCTTTATTTCACTCCCAAGCTACTACGCGTGACGAGAGTTTAGAACCGAATACATTTGATTAGATACTCTTTTTTTCGTTTCCACCCCATAAATAATATAAAGTGGCACATAATGTAAATCGATCTACGTTTACCCTAAGATAAATCGTAAAAAAAATACTTAAAAATGATTATTTTCATCACAATTCAATGACTCGCATCGAGTGTTTTGCCATCCATTCTACATATTCGTAGACCTTGGCAAGTTGTACTTTCATAAATATACATATAATCCTTACGGATAATGGTTCTTAATCAATTTCTCCATCAAGTATTTTCTATATTTTTTCCAACTTTTGTAAACAATCGAGTCCCATAAGGACGGAACACCATCAGTACATAATAATCGATAAAGTTTCCCGGGGTCGAGCATGCGCTGCGCCCGTCAACTACGTCACTGGTACATAGAGACGTAACGAAAGAGGGTAGATATACCTCTTCAGACGTCAGCCACGACGTCGTACGGACGCATTTCGTCTTGTTTGTAACAAAAGCGCACTTAATCGGTCGACTTAAACCAACACCTTTGGCCATCTTGCCCGATGTACGGTGTTGCTCTCGCTGCTTGGGGAAGATGGAGTCTGTCATTTCTGTTGCTCTTCATTGTAGCAGCTCCAGTCAGCTCTTCTGCTGATGTGTATACCAACAGCTTTTTGGTACGTTTGAAACGTTCGGTAGACAACAACGTGGCCGATCGAGTAGCAAGGAGAAATGGTTTTGCCAATTTAGGACCGGTAAGATTCTCTTTGTTTATGTCGTTTTATAGTGGTTTAGTATTACGTACGTGGCATTTAGTATGGTTTCTACATCTATAACTCGCCGTAAACACTCACACTTCGATTAAGTAGAACGGTCGAGGGGGAGTATTATAATTTGGTAGCATTTACATACCTAAATATTTAATAATTTTTTAAAAAAAATAAGAGTTATCTATACATATTTGTAAGAAATTTTCAATTTTTTCCGAATTTTTCAGCTTATAAATTGCACAAATATATATATAACTAAGTAATTATAAGGCAAAGAAGCCGTTCAATATCTTTTATTATCTAGAAACCCTGAAAATATCCGAACTATTGATATTCTATACTGTTTTAATTTATCATAAGTCTAATATAAATTTCCACGTCCTTTCATCACGAAACCTTAAGAATTTTCGATTTTAATTCCTCGATATTAAAGAAAAAAAATTGAAAGATTAATTTTAATTTTTTTTAAAATATTCTTTAATAAAATTTCAAATTTGGGGATTAAAACTTTTGAAATTGTAAATTTTATGAGTGATAATTTAAATTATATTCTGAGTTATCTTAATGTGTTTTTAATTGCGCTCGCTCGTGATTTTAAAGATATTTAATTAACGAATTATGATTTTGTTTATAATTTAATTTAATATTAAGAGAATTTAATCAATGACAATAAAAGAATACTTCTTTTGGCTTTATTTAAAGCTAACGTTTAAAAAAATTAAGTGAATATCATCCTTATCATCTACATTTAAATCGCTAAATAAAGGGTTAATGATGATTATAATCTATAGAAAATATAACATATAATTAATTACAAATGAACATTTTGCATCCTAATAAAGATAAAAATTGCTTGTTTTTATCGTTCTTTATTACTTTTTTAAATGAATATTTATGTTGATACACAGTTTAAAGGAAAAAACAAGTTTGATTTTAACTTAGAAAATTTCACATCTATTTTTAGAAAAGTAAATTTTACTTGATAGAATAATATAAATATATGTTCCTTCATATCAAATTTTTCAGTTTATAAATTTTGTTTACGTAGAAAAACGGCAAATAACTTTAAAGCAAGTAAGAATATCATATAGAAATATGTCTTCTATCGTCTAAAATATATATATATATAAGTAAATTCAAAAACACACATATATATAGGCTTAAGTATAAAAGAAAGCTATTTTAGGACCTCTATTTTTCTATAAGTTATTGACAGAATTTTACTCCTCCCCTTTCTAGCAATGGAGGCAATTTCTCCATGGTCACACTTTTAAACCCCCCTCAAGGCCATTGGTGTTGGATCGTGTCCAGGAACATTATAAGAATGGTTATTGTGTTAGAAGGGCAATCGTAACTTTATATTATTTAAATATTTTACATTTTCCTATTTACCTAGTGATCTTTACGATGTGAATAATTACATTCCCTACTTTATTATCTTTCCATTGGCGCATACCAAACAGATTTTCGAATTTAAAACAGTGGAATCTTATTAAATTGCAATTTAAATTTTATGATTTATACTTCTAACTCGCCTTTAAATGTAATTTATGGTCGTTGAAAGTGAAAAATGAGGTAAACGATACCTAGGGGGAAAAAAATATATGTATATATCGATTCGAAGATCGTTTAAAATGTCGATAAATCAATGATTTTTAAAAACTTTATATTTAAAAATCCTTGAGATATTCTAAATTTTAATAATTATCCTTGAGCTATTTTTTATATATATAATTAATATTAAAAACTTTAGAAAGTTTTTCTAAAATTGTAGTTTATAAAACATTCACATTATCTAAAATAATAGTTTTCTAGTTATGCCATAAGGTAATTGATTCATTTATGTAGTAATAATTCTTCGTTATGGATGATTCCGGAACCAAATTGTCACCTCGGAGTGATAAGTTCAAGAGATAAAGCATCTTAAGGTCATCACCTCTTTCTCTCGAGATGTAGCCTTTGATATGTTAGTGATATTCTTTTTCTCTTGATACTCTGATAGCTTCATCTTTCACTGCATAAACAATATACATGCAGAATTTCTATACTTTTATGCATTATTCTTATCTAGATAATTAAAAAGATCAGCCAAAATCAATTTTAATTGTAAAAATTTCATTTTCTAACAAATAAATAATTTAAGATCCCATATTTTTGTGTGTGTGTTAAAGAAGCTCCTTACATAAAATAATATAAAGCGAAATTCATGGTTTAAAAAGTTTAAAAAGATTTTATAGAAACGAACTTCCTATCTAAATCTAAAGGATTTCATATTTTTCTTGTGGAATTTCATTTATCATCAATCTTAGACGACGATAAAAATAATAATAAAATCGACTTTCTAGCAGACAGTTGTTGCAGGTAACATTTGTACAGTACAAGGCACATACATTGGTAAGCTTTATCGTTAAACTTTATGTATAATATATATTATATATATATACATAAAGTATGCCAATGATGTGCTTTTACAAATGTTGCTTGCAACAACTATCTGCTAGAAATAATACAGTAAAACTTGTGTAAATCGGACCGACACAGTAACGAATATTTTTCCAGTTTGGCACAGGTTTTTTAACACAGAGAATCGCTGTTTTCCAAAGAATTCTTTCCATTTTGAACAGAGTTTCCTGTATATAGGCCTATATATTATTTTTAAGCATATTTTCTGAAAAAATCCTGTTAGAAAGGAAAATAAAAGAAAATAAATTTTGATATTTTCATAAAATCGATTAATTTAAAATATTACGTAGAAATTATATGATAAATTTAAAAATGAGTTTAGTAAAACTTTAAACAGTAATAACAAAAAAAAGGTATTATAAAAGTTTACAAATCTCCGTCGAAAGGATTACATTATCCAGATAAATTGGCTTATAGAATTACTGGCTGAAACTTGAGGTTATTGCTATTAAACAGATCCTAGAGCTAAGTTTTTTTTTCCTTTACAAATCATATAAATTAATCTTCTTTATTAATAAAATTTTTACTGTTTACTAAAGAAAAAAGCCAGCGTACAATACAATTTTATATTCAGTTCAATTTGAAATTATTACAGTATTAACTAATTTTTTTAAGTCTTTGTGACTGGGAAGTAGTAATTATTTTATTTTGACGTCACACCCTTTCAAATAAAAGTTCAGGCTAAGAAAGGAAGTACACAAACACTCCTCCCCCTTCCTTACTAAGAGTCTGCTGATTCCTGCTGAGTTAACCATATGTCTTGGATGGTATATTGACAAAATGACGTTTCACTATATTGTATAGGCTTTACGTGATTTAGATGGATGACATCGAAATGACGATGTCCGACAAATCTTCTATCGGTTGTAAAAACTTTAATTTAGTTTTACTAAGTGATAAAAAGTGGGTTTTTTTATGAAAAAACTTCTAAATTTTCTTCCATTCCGGAGGATTTCAGTCGCTCCACTCTAATCATGATCAAAGTTTCACGTCTTTTGCCATTATCGAAGATAGTTTGAGTGCCTACTTTCTTCATTATCAGGCTATTTCCAAGCGAATTTTCAATGTTTAATCAACAAATGACATGTTAAATCATCTTTCTAACTCTACTTTTAAGTCTTTTCAGTCTGTTTTTTTTTAATTCAAACTTAAAACAACAAATGTTAAACACGCCTTTATAAACACACCTTATTTTTGTAAAAATACATTAATTTATAAGTATAATAAATTATTAAACTTTATTATTTATTTTAAAAAATAATAATAATTAAAAATACAGAAGTAATATTTAATTGTTGAATAATTCATTCGAAAAATGGTTTGCTTTAATTATGCAAACATTCTACAATTGCAGAATTTTATATTAAATTTTGCTTGTTCTAACGAAGGAAAAAAAAAGTCGAATAAAGAAAGAAAAATATTTTTATTAAAATTCCTTTCCTAGAAACTTCATTAAATTTTTGTAAAGTTTAAACAAAAAAAGTAATTAAAAATTTTTATGCTTAATATTAATTAAATTCAAATATCCTCTAATAGAAAAATTCTTTAAAATTTAACATTTACACTTGAAATATTAATTTATATTTTAATTATATTGTAACTTCTTCTTCAGAAATCCTTGATAAATTGATAGAAATGAATATTTCCCTGTGGATTTTCTTAAGATAACTCCTACTTGGATAACCAATATTAGAAAAGTAGCCATTTACAGCTTATCTTTAATTATCAATCTTGATCCTTTTAATACTTTTAAGTTATTAAAATTATAATATCAAAGCATAAATTATTCTAAATGAAAATTAACAAAATTTTTATATATTTAATTACATAAAGTATAAATATCACATCATAAATCAAATTAAAGAGTAAGGAGAAATCACTCATCTAAACAATTTATACAAACAAAACTTTTCCTCTTCTTCATCCCATTTCTTAATTTAAAAAATAAAAAATAAAATTTTATTTCAGTTTTTTATAATTTAATTTAACTATTAAGTAATATTTTTATAGTTACTTTTTATGTATAAAGTTTTGATAGAAAATATTACCCTCTTTCGTAATTTGAATCTTTTCGAACCAGCATCAATCCCCCTCATCCATCACCTTGGCAACTGCAACACTGGATCGCCAATGACGTCATCTCAGACGATGCTGACGTAGTTAGATCGATAACTTAGAAACGGGACTCTGTAGTCAATGAAACAGATGTCCCTAGACGTACTAATGATTCGTTTGAACAGTTTTTATCAGAAAAAAATTCAAGTAATGTAAAATAATACACAAATTTCCATTCGTAAAATGCGCCTCGTTTGTTCTATTAAACGCCCTTTTATAGCTAAATGTCATAATTACAGATACGATTTATTTCTTATTTATTGAGTTAAAATTAAATTATTTATACTCAGGAAATTGAAAGATTTTTATAAATTTTTTTATGGATTATTTCTTCGTTTAGAGTAGACGTATGATACTTTTTTTTTATTATACAAAGATTCATTTAAAAAAAAATAAGTTCAGGGATTATTATGTTGTTTCTAAACTTTTAAAATCCTACAGAAAATGAGGATGAGAAATTCTATTCTATTTTAATTTTTGGAAATTCCCTCACGTGATTAGAAAATGCAGAAACGAGTTGCGTAACTTTCCCGGCAATAAAGTTAAATTTGTTCAACGAAAATATTATCTGTTGCAATATTTTATTTTCAAAACATTTTTTATATTATTAATTATTATAAAATGGCAAAATGCTACATTTTGGGGTAAAGAAGAGGAATTTTTTTTTAAAAAAAGTGTGAATCTAATAACGAGTAAAATCTTCATTAACTTCGACCCCACTCGAGATACGACACACGGCCCTCTCTATCTCCTCACCCCTCGATCTTTAACACCAAAATTTAATAACATCAATATTTCTAATACCAAACCTCCTTGCAAAATTTCTGAAATTTATTATTAAGCTTCAAACAGGGTGAAAAAAAATCGTGCCATCCCCTCATATACGCGCACTAACATCCGTACATACAGAAAAACACCCGAATATATATTTTTTTCTTTTGAATTTCTCGATATTTCGAGGTTTCCGAATCCAAAGACATAACTTTTGGGGGTGATTTCTTGACCGATCGCCATACTTTCCTCCGTTACATGTAACAGCAGGGAAAGTAATACGCAGTTTATAAGTTATATAAAACATATGTTACACTTCTCGTAAGATTTTATTCAGTTTTTTGTAGTTGTTTTTTAAATAATTATTATATATTTTTTATTATTTTTATATGTTTTCAGATTTTAGATTCGGATAAAGAGTTTTACTTTGTTCACAAAGCTGTTCCACATGCTCGTAGAAAGCGTAGCACGGCCCACACTAGAAAGTTAAAATCGGATCCTTTGGTGAGTAATTATTCATTTTAATTCTATTTAATAAGATTAAAACAAATTTGTTTGATATTTAATAATTTATTATTAGTTATATAATTAAAAGCCTTTGCTAAGGGACTATTTGATTTGTTTTTTTTTTTTATTAAGAAATTACCATCTGTAGTTACTTTTCACTTCCAATTAGCAGCACGAATGCTCCTTCTATAAAGATTCCTAAGTTATTTTAGAATTAAATATCTTACTCAAGAGAAATAAAATATAATAATTGATAGACTGGTTATATTATACTATATTATGAAAAGCAAACACATGCTTATATTCGAATAAATATACTTAATTGTGTTAGAAGTTTTAGTTTATGTGATGATTCGAGTAAAAATAACCTTAATGGCCATAAAGAATTGACACGCAAAGAAAAATTTCCATCAATAACATGGTTTATATCTTCTTTTACGATATTATCAAAACTTTTAAGTGTCTTCCTTACATCCTCCATCCATCATTATTTTGAGAAATCTTCCAGTTCACACTATATGATATTAAATGCAATTACATTAAATTGTATTTAAAATTAAATGCATATACTTGAATTAATTACATATATAAATGTTTTATATTTATTCTTATAATTAATTATAATTAAAAATTAAACATAAAACCATTTATTCGTAATTATATTTATTTATATAGATTGTACTGTATAGTATATTATATTATTTATTGATATTTGTGAGTTAAACGGTGAAAAGTTATTAATATTATTGGGTTAAAATTTTAAAAAATTGTAGACCTATAAATTCCCACTGTCTGCTCGCTCTTCCTTAATCTCGAGAACGAAGTTATATAAATGAAAGTTGAAATTAGATATGGAAACCTTAGGGGTTTCCATATCTAATTATACCTCGATTAATTATACATAAACTTCCGGTTTATACCGGAAGTCACGTGATTTCAATTCAAAATTTTACCCCGAAATGAGTTAGCTAGATGACCGGCACGACTCTGCAGCTAACAGGAAAAGCATGATGTACAGGGGCAAGCCACTACTAATTTAAGGTGGAGAGCATATCTTTTAAATTTAAATACATTAAAAATATGATTAAGAATAGCAGCCCAGCATTGTGACCGTGTCACAATAAATAATTGCTTCTATTGATTATAAATTGTTTTTGCCTATAAATTCCTATAAAACCAATAAAAATATTATATTTTTTAAAATTTTGAAATTAAATGACATAGACTACTACAATAAGTATTGCAAGTAAAAAAGTAGCATTTAATTTCTGTTATTTAGACAATAATTATCTTCTTTCTTTGAAAATATATTATAAATATTCATAAAATAAGATTAAATGATTCGTTTCTTAGAAAAAAAGATCTATAATATGAATTACGATATCCTTTATAGAACCAATTATCTACTAGGTACTGTACTGTGCACTACGTGAGGCATATGTCCAGGGACCTCTAAATTGGAAAAAATAAAGCGACTTTATCGTTGCAATTGTATAATTTATAAATAATTCTACAATTAGATGTAATTAGTTTGTGATGTATAATTATATAGAGGGGCTTCAATATTCTATCCTAGTGGTCCCGGTTGATTTTATTCGTATACAGTAACGCGACACGTGGGCGTCCTACGGAGGAGGAATGCCTCCCAGGAGGACATTTTTGGGAAACTGGCTCCTATTTAGGTGTTACTAGCTTGATGAAAACACGGAAAACTCCACGTGGCCAGCCCGTTGGCCAAGCGCGAACCCACGACCGACTACCAGTGTTTTGTGGTTTTATACAAATTGCAGCCCAATAAAATTAAACTTTAACGTTTCGAAAATTAAATTTGGAGATATTTTATTTTATTTCTTATAAAATAAATAATTGAAATAAATAAATATCATGGCATTAGAAGGCAAATTGCATTTGTAATAATCAAAGCTCTTCCGGCAAATGGCATCAAGACGTGTCTACTTGAAATGACGATTGATAGTTACTCTTTAATCTTTATGTGTAGAAAATTTCACAAATATCACACGAGAATTTCAGTAAACATTTCCCCCCATTAAAATTATTTAAAAATAATTTTTTCTTAACAAAACATTTACGTCTTTTCCAATTGATTCCTTAATGGAATTTAATATCTACGATGTGCAAAACTTAATTATATCGTTCTCTAATTGCAAATTATACGTCGTATAAACTAAGTTTTAAAATTTAATTATTTGTCGAACTTCTCTGCTTCTGAATTTTAAATTTAATAATTATTTTTATATTCGTTTCTATTTTTATATCCGAGAAAATGAAAGTTTTTAATGTTTAAAAAACATGAAAATTACATTTAATATTTGCAAGTTTTAGTTTTTGTTTTTTAGGGAGAGGATACTGAAGATGTAAATCTTAGTGTCTTAAGTAAACTTTAAAGGAATTATTTAATATAAGACGTTTGTTTATTTTAATGACATTCTTTTCTAGAAGTATGTCCCTGGGGATGATAAAAGCAAATGTTATTCGAGTGAGGGATGTTAACTAGTTTGCTACAAGCAGTATAAATCAATAACACTTTGCTGTCATTTCACTGTATCTGTTAGACGAAATCTGTCGTCTACTCCAATTTATTTATTATTTTTTTGTTTTTTTTTATAAAAAAAATAAATAATAATCAAATATCTCTCGTCTTTATCTTGTTTTCCATCACAAAAAGATTCTCCATAGTCGATTTTTTTCCTCAATTAAGTTATCTTATTTGTTGCATATCTATTTAAAGATCAAAGAGTGAGGCCGAATGTCTGATCTTTGATTATAATAGACATCTAAATTTTCATTTTTGTAACAGAAACTGTATTATATCAAAGATTAATTAACCTATAGGCTTTTTCTGTAGTTATTGTTCGACTTTGTTTAGTGTATTTTTAAAGGATATTTTGTAAACATGGAGTTATATCAGAAGAGATTCTCTTCTGTATGGTATAGTTGAAGTATTCGGACTATTTTTAGACTAAAGAAATAAGAAAAATTCCATTTAATCTAGCATCAGCTTTAAAATAAATATTAGAGGAAATATTCGCCTTAATATATATATATATATTTTTTTTATTTTAAGGAGAAAAAATACGAGAATATAATAATTTGATACCTAACAGAATATATTATTACAATTGTTAGAAGTGGTTGGCATTTAATTTAAAGAAAACAATGTTCCTAATTTTAAATTCTTTAATCCTATTTAAAAAGATTTAAATTTTAATTAAATTAAAATTGTAAAAGAGAAGTTTTGATAAATCTCTCTCCATACAAGCCTTATCGAGTTTGATAAAGGATTTCAAATGCTATTTTTATCTTTTATTTTTTTCAACTTGGTTTTTTGTAAATCTTTTTCATTTTGATATTTTTTAATAAAATATCTAACAAATTAAATTAAAAAATAAACATTATTAAACTTTCACTCTTCATATTAATATTTTACCATTTTTTTTTCCCGGCTGTTATATATAATAGATGGAAAGTACGGTAATCGGTCAAGAAATGACCCCAATATTTTTACATTTTTGGACTCGGGGCACCTTAAAACGTTCAGAAATTCAAAAAAAAAGTGTTGGATAGTTTTTCTGTACGTATGGATGCTAGTGTTGTGTGGGAGGAACGATTTTGTTTACCCACTTTGAAGCTTAATAACTCCTGTGTCTTTTGTCGAAAATTTCTGAAATTTTTCAGAGAGATTTGGATATTAGGATCATTAAAGCTGTAAAATTTTGGTGGTTAAAGGTCGAGGGAGTAGGGAGATAGAGAGGGCCGCGTGTCGTATCTCGAAAGGGGTTGAACTTAATGAAGATTTTATTCGTTATCATCATTTACAATTTTTTATAAAATTCGTCTCTACCCTCAAAATTAAGATTTTGTCATTTTATAATAATTAATAATATAAAAAGTGTTTTTCAATAAAATCTTGTAACAGATGGCGCCGCAAACAGTTTTAACTTTTTTGCTGGGAAAGTTACGTAAACTAGTTGCTGGATATTTTTTGTATAAATGTGACAAGTAAAATATAATTCTTACTTGAACTACACACAAATAAACAGAATATAAAACTTTTATATAATTACATTTTAATATTAAACAACTTTAACTTATTTTTATAAAGATTTTAGAAATAATAAAAATGTAAATTTATTAGATCATCAGTTAAAAAAGTAACAGGAGAATCTTATTAAATTAATATATATATATATATATAATACATAGTCAGATGAAGGTTAATTAATTTAAATTAATGCAAACATTTTAGAATTTAATTTAAAATTAATTATTGATAATTGAGGAGCAATTTTCCATTATATAAGTTTCAGATAAGAGGGAGAGAAAGTTTAGAAAAATTTTCATAAAATTAATTTTATTCTTCCATTATGTAATGAAATTTTATTTAAATGATTCATTATGCATATAGGCCTATATGCTATACACGAGATGAAGTCATTTACATAGATTAGTCGAACCCTTTAAGAATTGTTTGTTATTCTAATTTGCAAATTCCCCAATGATTCAATAGTTACTGTAATTTATCCGATTTCTGATTCAATCTTTTAAGTTTCTCATATATTTTAAATCTTTCGGCTAGTTATATGCCTTGAAATATAATACTGAACATCTGAAAAACCGTACTTTTCATATCTGATATGAAAAAATTAGTTTCTAATTAGGTTTTATTCATTTTAATATCAATATTAAACTAAAATTCACAATTATATACGCTATATTTAAGTTATAAATTTTCAATTAACGATTAAAGATGATGGTAGGCAATCTCGTGCAACATCTTCCGACTATCAAGTCGTTCGCGATCTTCTAGTTGAAGGATGCTGACCTGAAACCAAGGAAAATCACGAATCGTAATTTTTAAATGTTATTGTAATTTTACGGAAGTTAAAAACAGGAAATAAGCTAGAAAACTAAAAATTTTGAGAAGATATAGATGAACTATTACATCGCTTTATTCAGTTATATATGTATTTAAATAT